TTTTCCTCCATGAATTTCTTCAGGCAGTATTTGAACCATGTAAAAGGACTCAGATTATAACATAAAGATCATTCTGAATCTTTTGCCAGCTTCTTCCCTCTCCCCTCATAGGCTCTCCTTAATTAGCAGAAGACCACAAACACTGTTTAATTTCTTTTGGGGGGACAAATGCAGTAATAATAATGCATTTTTAAAATTATTATTCATGATTATTCATAATTTAAAATGAACCCTGGACTGGCTGCAACAAAGAACTGCAAATGCTAAAGACACTTTTGTTAGGTCAGAGTGAGACTGCATAAAGAAAGTGAATATATTGAACTCTGTTCACACCGATAATTTAGTGTTTCTGATTAGGGTTTTAAAACATGCAATCTGGCAACTGGTGAAAGAAATTTACCTGGTAAATCAATGAGTATTTTTTATTTATAGTTTTACTTACTGCATATAAATAACTAACATCTATACATAGAAACAGATTTTCTGAGGCAGTCACATTTTCAGGCTACAAGATGATTTACATTATTTTTCTTTTTCAAACGTAGTTTAGCATCAACTATGGAAATGGTGTAAAAAATATTTAATAGCTAAAATTTCAGAATGAGCTAAGTAATTAGAAAGCTGTACTGATTGCAGTTACTTTCTAGAACAGGGGCTCATGTTCATAAACCAAGCTCTTCTGGTAAACACCCACTATCTTTAAAAAAACAGTTCACAAATCATGCCCCTACTACTTGGTGTAAAATAATTTGATTCCAGACTTGAAAATTTCCTCAAGAATGGTGGCCTTTTAGGAAGTAAGAAGAGTTGGACCTTATATTATGACACCAGGACTGGATTATCATTTGTTGAAATCAGACAAACTCTACTGAATGTCACTTAATGTGTAGAAATATCTCACTGAAAAACAAAGCTCTGGGAGCATGTATTGCTCAGGGCATGACCTGAACATTTTATTTCTTTAATCTCAGGCACAGAGAACCAGAAAATGAAGAATTGTAGGCTGCTAAATGAGCTTCAGAGCTGGGCTTATGGTTACTTTGTGTGTCGGCGGACCATCTTCCTATAGATGAGAACAATGACCCAAAGATGTATTTCTTACCTTGAGATATTTCAACTAGTATTTTGCATTCATCTGGGCAATGTCAAAGCAACCCTCCATTCTTGATGCACTGTCTTGATATCTTTTATTCTACTATTATTAGGAAAATTAATACATTAAAAGACAAATGAAAGAGTCCTTATGCCTCCTATAGTCTCCTTCCTGGCTTTCTTCGTAGAATTAAATGCTTTAGTTCCCAAGATTCCAGAGGAAACTAATTCCAAAAGAGACAGTGCCGCACATTTCACAGAGAAGGTCTGGATTAAAGATGATTCTCCTTCATCGTGTATCCTGCTAGACTGAAAGAAAGGACTGTCACATTTGAATGTGCATTACCTCCACATAGCCAAGCACTGTTACAGTCATTAAGGAGAAGAGGAGACAATGCTACTTGCATTAATTAAATAATACCTAAAAGTATCTGAAAATAATATGTTATTTAACCTGATAGAAAGAGGAAAAAGCAGTGACTTAAAACTAAAAAAAGGGGATTGATAAATTCCCTTCCCCACCCTGCCTCCAAATGATAAATTATGGCTTTGGAAATCAAACTTCATCACTTCATTTAATATCTTTAGACATACAAACTATTTCAAACACTTCTTAAGTAATAAATATTTAAATTCTGGAAAATGAAAAAAGCTAGAGCACAGTAGTATTACTGTGCTTTTATTCAAAGGAATAAAATAACGTGATATTTTTTCAATTTATGCTAATCAATTTTAACCTGTACATACATCTGTACATACATATGTACAGATGAATTTATATAAGACAATTATAGTTATAACCACTTCTAAAAAGAAAGAAAAATGAATGGATGGTACAACTAAAATTATCCAAACATACATTTTGTCTTAAACTTTTATTAGAGAGCAGATGCTATTTCTGATGAAGTAGAATCAATAATGTAATGTGAATTTAAACCATCTTTTTTTCCTAGATGTCCTTGTACTTCAATTCTATCACAAGTATATCAACTTTGTTTTCTCAGAATGTCACCCTGTGTTTGAAGAAGTAGGCTCAGGATACCTGAATAAATGGGTAAAGTCCCAATAATAGCTCCTCTAGGGTAGGAACCATGACTTTTTTATAGGAGTAAGGATTATCCTTTATATGTGTGTGGTCAAAGGACTCATCCTAAATGTAGACAGTTTTCCTTCCCAAGGCAGACTACATTTGCTGCTCATTATACTATCTGGAACAGCAAAGATGCATTTTAATATCTTTTTATTTAACAGAACAGTAGTGCAAGCTACTCAACAAAACTTTGAAGTCCTACCAACACAAAATACTTTTTGTGTTGGTACAATTACCCATTTCTTATGTATGGAAGAGGAACAAGCAGATGCTATTTAAAAAAACAAAATTAACTCAGAAGTCCTCAGGTTTGTAGTGGAGAGATCATGTAAAAAGTTACACAGAATGCAACCGAACAAAGTGAAGAAGGAAGAGGCAGCGGCCCCTTGCTCAGACTGCTCTTGTCCCTGATCTCCCTTTTAATAGAGCTGTATTGTAACTGCTGTGGGTTTGTGAATAGGTTAGACACCTTCATCACGGTGTAGTGCAGAGTTTGCCGAGCTGTACCACTAGATGGAGGCAGATATTGCGTAGTTACATCTAGTAAGCAGGACGAGGAGCATACTGAACGTGAGGAGAGCCAGTGGCAGCTGTTATCCCCAAAGCAGAGGTTTTGTTATGTGAATGGAAGCACGATAGGAGCTCAGCAAGGGATAAGATGCTGGTAGCTCATTAGTGGTACCTTTGTTCTCTCTGAGGCAGAAGATCCTGGCTTCAACTATATTCCACATGCTATGGATGTGTTGGAGGAGCATTCCTGCCCCTCAGAGTTGTCTCCTTGAAGATATGAGGGTGCTTCTCTCCCACCGTGTTCTGACCCTGTTGCAGGGCAGGCAGCTCATGCACTTACTGGATGTGGTCTTTCAGATGTATCCCATGGTCAGGATGGTCTTCTGAGGAACACACACACCTCTGGAGGGTTATGCCATTCACCTCAGTTCATATGGAAAGTAACTGAACACTAGAATATTTTTCACCTTGAATATTGTGTGCGGTTCTGGGCTCCACAATATACATGTAAAAAAGATGTTAAGGTACTTGAAAGCATCCAGAGGAGGGCAACAAAGCTGGTAAAAGGGCTGGAAGGCATGTCCTGCAAGGAGAGGCTGAGGACCCAAGGGTTGTCCAGTCTGGAGAATGAGGTGGCCTCATTGCTCCCTGCAGCTCCCTGAGGAGGGCAATGCCAAGGGAGGCACCAGTCTCTGCTCCCTGGGACTGATGGCAGGATGTGTGGGAATGGCACAAGGCTGTCCTGGACTGGGCATTGGGAAAAAATTCTGTACCATGAAGGTGGTCAAACACAGGACGGGGCTTCCTAGAGAGGTGCTTGATGCCCCATGCCTGTCAGTGTTGAAGAGGCATTTGGATAATTCCCTCATTATGAGACTGTAATTTTTGGTTAGCCCTGAAGTGGTCAGGCAATTTGACTTGAGGATCTTTGTGGGTCTGTTCTATCTGAACTATTCTATTCTATTCTATTCTATTCTATTCTATTCTATTCTATTCTGTTCTGTTCTGTTCTGTTCTGTTCTGTTCTGTTCTGTTCTGTCCTGTCCTGTCCTGTCCTGATCTATCCTGTCCTATCCTGACCCATTCCATTCCATTCCATTCCATTCCATTCCATTCCATTCCATTCCATTCGAGCAGTACTAACAAACAGCTTGAGCTCAACAAAAACGTTATGTGTCTCTGTTTTGTGCTATGTTCCCTGTGGGGATCTTGGCCAAGAGAACACGCTACATCATGTAAACATTGCATCTTTCCAGGACCCTTAAGGTCATTGTCCACTGTCACAGTCATTTTTATTTTTATTTTATTATTTTTTTTCCACTTTTCTCCAAGTGGGAAGACCAGTCTTGTGGCTAAATGTACCTTCCGCTATGCCATCTGATATGCTGCCTTTGGAAGTAGCTACTTGAAAGTAGCTATTTGCTGCCTATGGAAGTGGTGCCTGGAGTACTGTATTCACCTCTGGGACACCCAACACAAGGACACGGAAGTATTAATACAAGTCAGAAGAGATCCATGAAGATGATCAAGGGGCTTCAGCACCTGTCCTACAAAGACAGGTTGAGGGAGTTGGGGTTGCTCAGCCTGGAAAAGAGAAGGCTCTAGGGAAACCTTACAGCAGCCTTCCAGTATTTAAAGGGGGCCTACACGAAAGCTAAGGAGAGTCACTTCTTCAGGAATTATAGTGATTGGAGAAAGGGGAATGGCTTTAAACTAAAAGAGGGTAGGTTTAGATTAGATATAAGAAAGATATTCTTTTATATGAGGGTGGTGAGGCCCTGGAACAGGTTGCCTAGAGAAGCTGTGGATGCTCCATCCCTGGAGGTGTTCAAGACCAGTTTGTATGGGCCTTTGAGCATCCTGGTCTAGTGTCCCTGCCCATGGCAGGGTGTTGGAACTGGGTGATCTTTAAGGTCCCTTCAAACCCAAACCACTCTATGATTTTATGAAGTTATTATTCATCTGTCTTCCTCTGTGATGGTGGTCTGTGAGAAGAAGTGCTTGGGGCTACTGTGAGAGTATGGAAACCCTGTGTGACCCATCTTAGTGAGTCCTGGTGGGGCCCAGAGGATGGCTGTTGCTGAAGGTGGTGCTATAGTGTGAAGGACTCCTGTGTGGGAACTGGAAATGAGTCAGAACCAGGGTTTGTAGCTCTAGCAGCTCTAGCATACAGTCTATTTTGTAGCTGCACCTCTATTCAGAAGGATATTTGCCTGCCTGTCTGTCTATTGCACATGTAGGAGCTATTTAATACACCACTGAAATGCCAGACGAAAGAAAAACATTAAACAACAGAGTATACAAGGTGGTTTTTGTTTGTTTTTTTTTTTTAATTGTCAGGTGAAATTGTATAAAGTATAAACAAATCTATGAAAAGTTCAGGATAGAAGGTGGCATTCAGAAGCTTACCACTTTAATTGGCCAGAGCCTTAAAATGGTTTTGGAATACCAAAACCACCAGATCTGAATTCTTATTTTTTTTTTGAAACACTTTCTTCAAGAGTTTGCTGGCTTGCTCCCTGTGGGAAAGAAACACAAAATATAGAGACTATGTTAGAAACAGACAAGGCAAACAACTATGTTTTATTCCTAGTGTTTCTCTAGCATTCCCTGAGAAAAATGGTGCCTAAAAAAAAAATAACTATGGCAAAAGGGGTCAATTGACCCATGGAATCAATTCTAGTTAAGCCCCACTATTACTTCTGGGTAGTTTCTGCCTTAACTAAACCTTCCCATTGACTTGGTAAGTGGGACAGTAGCTCTTGTTTTCCTAGGGATCAATGTATTACTAAGCCTGTGGCCCCACTTGCTGAAACAGCTCATTTACAAAGCAAGGTCCCTCAGATGTGTTTGGATATGCACAGGTGGTGCACCAGGCTGCTGCACTGCTGCTCTGTCAGCTCTTGGTTGCAATGGGGACATGTTACAGAGGACACATAGTGGCTGGAGTGTACAGGAATGTGTTTTTCCCAGGTTACTCCCTTCTTTCTTTTGGCAGTATGAGGAAGCCCTTGCAATCAGGGAGAGCAGTGGAACATATATGTTAGGTGTTATCTTGAAAATCAAATCTTATGAATTTACCGTATAACTTCTGAATTCCTTGCCTATCGTCCTTTGAAAGTGTGAAGGTTTCTGGGTTCACATATGAGTAGAGAGGGTACATCAGAGCTCCACGGACATTTGAATGGGCGAGTCCCAAAGAATGGCCAAATTCATGAGCAGCAACAAGGAACAAATTAATTTCTGCACCATAAAAACATAGAAAAGTATCTCAAGTTAGGACGTTTCTTTTCAGCATACAAAGAGTTAAGCAGTAAGAGAATTTATGTCTTTCCTTGGTTTGTCCTTGGAATGAAACCTTGGTGTGCTGATCACTTATTAATCATTTACTACTGAACTTTCTCATTTAACTCTTAACATTTTAATCAAAATATTGTTTATCCTGTGCATACACATATAGACACCCTGAGTCTCTTTCCAGCTCTGATTTTAGTCAGCCATACTCCTACCAGCAAGTCATAGGACCTTTTCATACTTTATATAGAAAACAGACTATCATGGTCCTTATTTAGCCTTTGAAAAGTTCTTTAAAATCCATACGAACAGGCATTATATAAGTGCTTATGATAAGGAAGCAAAAGCACATAGGTAGTTGAAAAGAAGGAAAGAAATGTTGGTAACAAAATGGTACCGAATCATGAAGTGTTATGGAAAGTATTTCCTATGACTGTGTTCTTGTGACATATACAATATTTGCCCTTCTCCCTTCATACACAAATGTGGGTTTTACCTTGATTGTACCTTGACCATCTTTCATCATCATCAAAATGAGCATCTCCACCTATCCCTTCTCCAGGTGCAAAGGCGTGAGCTAATGTGTTACCTCTTCCATCAAAAGGATATCCATCACCATGCTCTACATTTGAAAAGAAAGAAATGTCACCAGATAGCGCCAGCTCTAGTTCTTAAATTCAGCAAATTTTAGCATGTTGCTTGTTTCTCCTACAGTTTTTCATCACTATTCTTTGAAAAATAAAAATCCTATGATAACAAGGTTGTAAAAACAAGGAGCAAGGTTTTAGGAAACACTCTCCAAATTCATGACTTAAATTCAAGAATTAGACTTGATAATTGAAGTTTCTGAGACAGCTTCAGAGACAGCTGAGCCTTTGCCAGAAAAGTGTTTCTGAAGCAGCATTCAGGGATTATTTCAGAATAAAAACTTAATGCTTGACAACATTCTAAGCACCTGAATGTTTTTATTGTTGGACGGTGCTATGCAACTTTAGTTCTAGACACTCACTTATACAGATTGTAGTGGAAGTCAATGATTTGGGCTAGAATACCATGTAACTGAATATCTGAGTTCTTTTGTCCCTGGCCTTGTTTTAGGGTCTATTATCTACTGCTATCATCTGTGATTGATTGTGGGTTTGGGGGGACTCGAATGCCGATTTGTGTCCTTTCCCCCAGAACACATGATGGACCTTGATGCAGACCTAATACAGGCAAAGGAGACCCTAGTCCTAGTTCATGACAAGTGATTTATACCCATTTCTATCTTAGTTTGGCTGAGCTGAGTCAGTTTGGGTTCCAGACACAAGTAAAAGGTATGCCTACATTCATGTATTATTATGGATCACGAGCTTCTGCAGTGACCCTACCAGTCATCCCCATTTACCATGCCCTAGCTTGCCCCTTTTTGCAGTCTTGGAGTGCAATAGTGGGGTTCCTTTTAGAATAAAATCAACCAGAAGATACTCTTTGGGGCCAAACCTAATGTACCCCAGCTTCCAAAGGTTTGGTCAGTCCAGAGAACCAGGATAAAGCTATTCCAAATTAAAGCTGCCTGATCCTGCCTGACTCCAGCCTGTGGATGCCGATTCTTCAGCATCATCTGTTTTGCTCTGCAGACCTCTTCCCATTAGTTTGTACTCTTGTCAATGCAGACATACCCCCGAACATCTCAGTTTAGGTGTCTCAGACTGCAGCTGAATTCTGCCTCCATTTCACAGCTGTAACTCCTACGGGATTTTCTAATGTTTGCATGGGAGTAAAATTGATTTATGATATATAAAACTGATGGCATTATAAAAAGACGGTAAACTCTACATAAATTAATAATAAATATAAACATATTGTTCTTTCTTAAACTTTTGGCTATAAAAATAGATTCTGCAAGTCAAAGCTAAGGAGCACTGCATTTAAAAATGATGTAGTCTCACCATGACGTGCAAATCTGATCACGATGTCTGCATACCCCCAGAGAACTTTTTTGAACTTCAGTGGAGTCACATCACTCCATACCATAAAAGCCCTTCTAATTGCATCATCCACATGTTGTCGGGGTAGATCAGGTGTATAATTAACAATCCTGGCAGAAAAAGGAAACAGGAGAACAGCATTTAGTCTGTGAAGGAAGCCTGCATAGTTAAACACAAAATAACCCCTTTTGCCATAAAACCTGAAACATCACTAACTTGTATGTCAAAAGTTTCTTATTCCATCTTGGATTTCCAGGAAATGTTCTGTAATCTGCGATATCAGGGATTCCACATCTGGGTTGTTGAATCATTTTTTTTGTTTCTGCATCTAATGTTCCAGTTACAGTCAGGTGGAAAAACTTCTGCATTTCTTTAATCCTCTCCTCTAAGCTGAGTTTAGGGGCTCTATCAAGAATTGGAAAGAACTTATTGAGATATGCCTGGAAAAGGAAAAGGAAAATAAACATTAATATTTATATCTGTGATTTTTCAGTAACTGCATTTTACATTTGATTGAATTGTTTCATTGTCCTGCAGTCATAGCTAGTTTTAGTATTTTTTTCTTCCTGTTTCAGTTTAACATATGATATTTTCTCTGTAGCGTAGACTAACATACAGGAAAATAATTGTAATAGCAGCACAACACAGTAAGCAAACAATTCTTTTAAATAAATGCAATTTAATCTACATTCAAATCAATCAGCCTCCAAAATAATATAAAATATCGTTAAGATGTTTTTAAATGATGTGTTCCCCTTCATTTGACAGTTGGAACTTGGTCTCTTTTGCAAGTTAGACTTAGGGTATCTAAGTCAATCAGCAAATTTAAATAGTTTTATGTCACCTCTGCAAAAAATATTGCAATGTTAGATAAGATAGACAGGAAAGGAATGTAGAAGTTAAATAAAAATCAGGTTATTCATAATGCAGTTACATTGTCCCCCTAGTAACATACCTTTATAGTCTCTAAATCAGCATTGTTCCATAGTTCTGTGTTAAGTTGTACTGGAAAAGCAAAACTCTGAGGTAGGAGAATGGCAGCACAAAAAAGGAGGTATTGCATAGTCCCCAGCATTGGCAAGGAGCCTCGCTACAGCAGAAAGTGTTTGACCTTCTGTCTCCCAAGACCACAGCTAAAATGCTTATATAGATCCTGTTAGCTCCATGCAGCAATCATGTACGTGACTCAGTTTTTGGTGGTGTTAATGTAATGGCATCACTATTCTAAGAAGTAAAGGAAGGCATGTTAAACAAATCTTCCCTTTGACTTCCCTGTTGATGTCATGTCACAACCAGCAGCCAACTTTGGCTCTACCTTTTCATATTATTCCAGTAGTGAAATCACAAGGTCACAGGGAAGTTCACCCTCTGTAACTTCATCAATACAGTTACTGTATAACCACTTCTTACCATGCCTTACTTATACACAAAGACATCTTGCAACATTTTGGTCAGACAACCTGGCTGTGTTAGTTGATGCAGGAGCAGAGATGAGATGGATGGGAGTGCTATCTCACTTTACAAGAACATGTGAAAGCACACAGGAAAAAGAAAAGAGCTTACCCTAAGACATATATAGCCATCTTCTACCTCCAGCTGTACCAGTGCAATGTGTTGAAGGTTCATGGAGCACTGATAGAGAAAACCAGAGGTGGGGAGGGCAGCTAAAACCTCCCTGGTCCCCTGAGACCAACACTGGTCTCAGCTGCTTTCCACCAAAACCCACTGGAAGTAGCAGATTTTGAGGCCTGGAAACACCAGTCCACAAGCAGGCTTGTGATTTTTTTTTATCAGGGTGTGTGTTTTTGTGGCAGTGTTGTCCTTAACCCAAGTGGAAAGGCACATCAATGGGAAAAGATTGTTACTGTTTCTTACAATAGGGCAGCTAAAAGGGGAGTAAGTGAACATACATGTACATGGAAGAGTTCGTGAGCTACTGGCTTAAGTCCAATGCACTCCTGACTGATAATAAAGACTTCTGATTTCAGAGAGAAATGATCTATGCCAAAACACTATTGAATTATGCAGGAGAGAACTGCATTACACAGTAAGGTCTGAAATAGTTGTTAAAAGAATGGGGCTTCTACTTGATATTGGACCAGGGTCTGGGTGGCAGGTGAGATGAGGATGTGTTTAAGCTCCATGAGTCTTGTGATTAATTCCTCACATGCATGAGTGGAATTTGAAGGCCTCAAAAGGCATTCCAAATGACAGAATACTAAACATCTTCTTTGTATTTTTAACTGGGCCATGGGCAAAGCTGAAAAGGAGAGTGTAAATGCACGCGTTTGTTGAGAAATGACAGACTTTATGCTCCATTTTATCTTCTGATAGATATCTGTCAACTCACCCCCCCCCCCCTTTTTTTTTTTTCAAGAGGGTTTTTAAGTTAATGTGGGGCTTGAATTGAAACAAAAATAATTTAATGAGAATAAACTCATTTTATTTGGGCTCAAAACCATTGGGAATCAATTTAATTCTGGTAGGAAGACCAATATTAAAAAGAATAGAATGCTAATTTAAAGACATTTCTGTGTGAATTTTGCACACTTTATGTTTTGCCTTGGTTTTGAATGACACAAGCTGTTGTGGGTCAGGTAAAGCTAATTTACTGGCCAAATGTCATAATCACATCTTTTGCATTCAGCAGAGAACCTGTGCCTATGCCAGAGAATAGAGGAGTTTTAAGTCAGTCAGAAGAAACACTGTTAGAGACGTTTAATAATTAATAGGAATAACTGTAGCCACAACTTGAAAATAAAAGTGTTTGTATATATATATGACGTAAAGATCTATTAAGGAGGTTCACAAGATTGCCACAGAAATTTTTACACTGTGACATTTAATGAGCTGAGTAACCCTACTGTGAACAAGCATATTTCATGAAATGATGTCCTATGAGGAACCCATTGATGGGCACCAGTCTCTGCGGTCTGGGGAAAAAAAATAAATATAGAAATCAAGACCTGAGCCTCCTTTGGACATGAGCAGTTTTGTGCCCTGCAGTGGGATGAAAAAGTGAAGTAGAACTGAATGATTCAGTGGTGAATGATCATTGTTTCCTGGTCATTTGACTTGGACAGAAGGCTCAGCTGGACTCTGGCCAACCTGAATGTGGCCAACAGTGGAGTTAGTGCAGGTCAAGAGTTGCTAAATTGTCTTTGTGAATGCATTGGATCTGGCTGGGGTGGAGCTAGCTTTCTTTATAGCAGCCGGCATGGTACAGTGTTTGGATTTGTGGCTATAAGTGTTGATAACACATCAATGTTTTGAGTATTGGTGAACAGTGCTTGCACAGAGTCAAGGTTTTCATTGAATAGACTGGGGGTGGACAAAAAGCTGGTAGAGGATGTAGCCAGGACAGCTGACCTGAATTTGTCAAAAGGATGTTCTCTATGATAGAGTGCCATGCTCAGAAATAAAACTGGGCTGCCAGAAGAAGAAGGTGGAAATGGAGGTTGTATTTTGAGGTAGTCATTTCATGGAGACTGGCCGGGTATCAATCTGCTTGTGAGAAGTAGTGAGTGATTGCCTTTGCATCACATTTTCTTTTTTCTTCTGATTTCTTCACTTTATCTCCATCCATGAGTTTATTTTATTTTATTTTATTTTTTCGTAATCTCTCACTCTTCCCATTGTGGGTGGGGTGGGGAGTGAGCAAGTGGCTGTGTGGTGATTACCTGCTGCCTGTGGTCAACCCACCATAGTAAATACCATGGAAAACAAATGGTCAAAAATTTCTGGGAAATGTTTTGTTTGGGTCACTTGTGAATTATGCAATATTGTATTTAAGCTCCAACCAAACCGGATAGACCTGGACTCTTAAGGTCTCTAGGACAATCAATACCTTTTGTTCTGGTTATTTAATTTGATTTAAAAATAATAATAATAAAAAAAATCAGACTTGGCGTATCTTTGACTTGGATTATTTATTTATTTATTTATTTATTTATTTATTTATTTATTTATTTATTTATTTATTTTCTTTCTTCAGTTTCTTAGGACTAAGCCCAGTGAGGCCCAATCTGCATGTAGAACCTTGCCATTATTTTTCCACAAACCATCTTTCATTCTCCTCATCTCATCTTTGCATGGCACACTCCTTTTAGATGCAAAATTGCCTCTGAGCAACACAAATCTGGAGCTCACTCATGGTTATTATTAGCTATTTTTCTTGGCTAAGTCTACTCTGCAGAGGGTGTCCCATCTCCATGGCTTCTGCACTCCATTTCCATGGATTTCACCCCTGAGGGGCATCTTTTCAATGGAGTCCCCTGAGACAGGGAAACCAGGGCTACATACCCCTATTCTGTGAAAGTAAAGCACTCCAGTCGCTGCTGAGGCCTCTCAGCAGCATGCCAGCCCATTTCTGGAGAGAGGCAACCCGGTTCTTCCCTTCTGTTTGTCTGAGTCAAGATGCATTGAGCTATTTCCCAGCAGGATATACCTGATGCCCTGCTGCTTTAGGGGAAGAAAGGCCTGAGGAAGGGATTAGAGGTTTGTGTGCAGCACAAACAGTGTGATAAGAACTAACAGACTTAGGTTACTAGTAATTAAGCAATCAGGCTTAACATATCTCGACTTGTTGATTTACCATCTTATGGCTGTTTAGAATTAACTTTGCAATTAATGACTTTGTATTTAGAATATTTTGACTGGGTCATAATGTGGGAAAATGATGCAAATGTAGAGAAAAGATTTTACAATAATCACCTTGAGCAATAAGCCACAAGGGAGATAGCCTTCCTGTGAATGTTACATTCACTTGTGATGTTTGACATCTTACCTTGTTGTATTTGTCTGCTTCTCTGGTCAATGCCATGGATAAGGAATATCTTTCCTATGGGTAAAAGAGGTATACAGATCTCTTAAAAAATTCCATATAATAATATTCATCATTCACTTTAAATTTAAGTCATAAGATAAACCCTTTGGGTGCATGCAGTCTTTCCTTCCTCCAGAAGCCTTCGTACAGGACAGAGAGAAGGGAAGAGGGCAGGTGGTCAGTCAGCTGCATCTCGCTGCAGTATGGATACAAATCTTACTGGCACAGGAGCAGGGGCACCTGCTAGAATCACCTTTCATTTGTGAATTACCTTTTTGTAGCTCTTCCCACCCATTTGTAAGTCTGGCTTAACACTGTCTTTATAGGACTGGGTCAAGATGCAATTTAAAGCCTTGCAATTTAAAGTCTTGTCTTAACAAAACTGTATCCTTTCATGCAGGAAACCTTTAATTTCATACTTGGCTCAAGGTAACCTCAGGTTTCTGGTAATGCAGCAGTGAATCTCTGTGATAAGTGGCAGAGTCTCATTCAAAACAAACTGAGACTGGTCATGTAGTGGTGCTGCAAGGACAGGCAGACCCTTATTACTCTCTCGCTGCTGTAGCAGCATGGAAAGGCTGGTTGCATGGAAATGCTGCACTGAGTTTGTCAACACTAAAAGTTACCCAAAATAAGGAGCAATGTGAGGCAGTCCTGACTCACCCCGAGGATCTGCACATGTCCATACCTGCAGGGACAGCACAATGAGTTTGGGTTTCAGTGATGACAGAGACTGGGTTTTGAAAGGCATAGTAGGCACAGAAAGACAAGCTCTCGTATCTTGACCTGTGCTGAGCACGGATGATTTCTATAGGTCTCTGGAATATAAGTAAAACCCCAAACTCTGCATTTAACATAATTTTCAAAATCCTGTTTCTAACATGGAAATAAACCGCCCCTCAGAGAGGCTAAAGACTTCATTGAGATAAAATGAAGCAGTAAAGCAATTCCAGAAGAATTACAGACATACCACTGGGGTTTTATGCTCTAGAATAAAATGTGTGAGACTGTGTACATCATCTAAATTGAGAGGGATAGAACTGAGAAAAAAAAGGATGGTGAAAAAATAAAACCCAACCATATGTGAATGTGTTGGTATTTTTTTTTTTCATAAAGTTTTTTTTTTTCTTCTCTAGAATTTGTCAGATATGACCATGTTATTGTCTTTGTTCAAATGATTTCTAATTCATGACACTAATTCATGTCTGGAAAGCTGACAGCCTGCTGGTCAGGCAGCTCCTGGGTTTGGGCTGGGTCCTTCTATTCTCCTGTCTGATTTCCAATAATTGGGTGTAAGGACA